TCGTCACAGGGCAGCACGGCCTAATGGCCAGAGTCCAGGGAATTAGCTTTTGGCTACAGGGCAACGCAGCCTAGTGGCCAAAGTCCATAGAACAAGCCCTTGGTTACAGGGCAGCAGGACCTTACTGATGGCTCAGTGGGGGTGGTCCTACCGAAACACGCTGAGGCTTACTGGGGGCAAGGTACCAGTCTGCCACCCACCCCGGGTCGGTTCCTACCGGTTTCGGAGTCGGGGTTGCCCACGAATCCCAAGGTCCTCCGCGGGTCTCTGGAGCCATCGCCGCCTCTGATTCCTTCCCCGGTAGGGGTTCGTGCCAGTCGGAAGAAGCCTCCGCTCCGAGCGGCTCTGAGAGCGTCGGCTGGTCCTCTGCAGGAGCTGCCCGGTTAAGTCTTTCTCCTTCGGCTGCCCACCCAGATTGAGCTGAGTTCCATCCTTTTATACTCACGGAGCATTTGGAGCATGCCCAGTACGGGCGGGGTGGGACGTCCGCTGACAGAGCTACCTGTCTGTCACTTCCGGGGCTAGTCACGTGCGGGGTGGAGCGGCCCCGTCACATACTCCTCACTTGAATGGTTACTAAGATGTAAAACAGAAGCTCCTATGTTAGAAGATTATCTAAATTTAATTATATCTGATATATGGCTGGGATTTTCAAAGAAGCCTAAGTTAGCCCCCACTGAAATACAAAGGGGATTGAGTACCTACCTCACTCAGGCTACATCCTCACTACAGCGGGGGGTCGATTTAAGATACGCAAATTCAGTTACACTATTCGCGTAGCTGAATTCGACGTATCGCAGCCGACTTACCCCGCTGTAGGGACGGCGGCAAAATCGACCACTGTGGCTTCCCGTCGACGGCGCTTACTCCCACCTTCGCTGGTGGAGTAAGAGCGTCGATTCGGGGATCGATTGTCGCGTCCCATCGATCCCCGAGAGGTCGATTTCTACCCGCCGATTCTGGCGGGTAGTGTAGACCTACCCTTAGTGTCTTTTGAAAATTCCAGTGTTCACCTATATATCTAGCAAAACAGTATGTACTCTAGAATCTGAAATAGTTTAATTGAAAATAGTTATGTTTTTGTATAGGTAACCTGCTAAAGGGAAAAATGTGGTTTTTGCCATTTGTTGCTGACTTTTTTTTTTTAAGGTAAAGAAGGTCTGAAAGATCTCTTTATAAAATTACTTGTTTGCCTTTTTTACATTAGAAATTCAGGTCCTGTCTGTGCTTAAAGTTTAACTGGAGGACCGCACAAGAGCCAAGATAAAGTTGAGCATTTTCAGGAGAAATCTTAAGTAAGGCTACTTAAAATTCTGGATTTGTTTTTTAGTTAACATCTATTTAACCTTAATTATTAATCTATAATATTTCTTTGCCCAAATATTAAACTCCCTTTCCCCTTAAATTAGTGTTAGATATAACAGGAAACATTTCTAGGAACGCGGGACTTCTTGCAGCACAATCAGAGAAGAATAGATTTTTCTATTCTTGATAGGTAAAAAGACAAAAGTAAACTTTAAAATAAATCTGGCTGCTATAGATCATAAATCAACAAAAGTACACAAGTCCATTTAAAAACATTTTCTGACCCTAAAATATTATGTACGGTAATTGCACGTGGGGAAGTTTTTGGCGATTCTTTGAAATGGCCTCTGCATTTTCATGTAAGCTTAGCTCCTAATCTTCAGTCCTGTGAAATGGTACTGTTTTTGTGAAAGCATCAACACTGGAAGGTACATCAGACATGTGTGAAAATGCAGAAGTAACTTTTCCTCAAAGAACTACAGAAGTAACCTTTCTGTTCTTTGGCCTTTACAAAGAAAGCTGTTTGCTTAATTATGTTTGTGATGTATGCGCATGTATTGCCTTACAGAAAAATTTCCTTTTATTCTAAGTGTAATGTTACAAATGAGTGTAACCCAACATTTGAATGAAGTCCATTGCATTTGAATGAAGTCCAATGGCATTAAGAACTGGGTGCTGTTTCATTTCACCTAGTCCAGGTGCTGCTGTGTAAGATTAATTATGATTTGAAGCAGATGCTGATACTGGTTTGTCTTCTTCAGAGAATATCTGTTACTGCTGAGTTAAAAATACAACATTCCTTCCTAAAGGAGCTGCAAGTCTTTCCAACTTGCTGCTTCACACTATTGCAGCTTCTGGCAGCATGGTATACATTAGGCTCAATTTACTGCTCATGAACTCGGGACCAACCAAAGCCTTAAAAGAAGTTGCAGGTTGTTTGAGTTGTCATTTGGGATTCCTCTCTTCCCCACCCCTGAAAACAACAACATTTTTGAATTACAGTATTAGATTTTATAAAAAGTCTTTAACATGAACATGCCCTACCTACTCTACTGTTGTGCCTGTTTCCTGCTATGTTAGCACTTTTGTGACCACTGGCTGCTTGAGTTACTGGAGACTGTGTATTGTCACAGTTCAGTAATGCACAGTGGCTTCTGATATTAGTAGGCACTGTAGAAAGGCATTTGAATGCCATTTTATGGTGCACACCTTACATGCAATCCTGATAATACATAGTACCCAGTATGCACATTTAAAGAAAGAAATTGCCTGAAATGATTGTGTGCTGTCTGAATGTATTGGGAGCAATATCACACATTTGGTTCAAGCTTGAAAGTAAATTTGTACTCTGGAAAAATGACTAAATACACGTGTTACCTTACTCAATGCATCTGCCCTATGGCTTTGGTTATGCTGTCAACCACGTAGAACTGCTAACTTGTCCCAGGTTGTATAATGGCCAGGGTGTAGGCAGCGGTGCCAGTGATGTCTGCTGGGTTGGAGTCAAAGACAAGAGCTGAGACTAGTTGCCAAGCCAAGTCAGGAAAACAGATAGCAGGGTTAAGCCAGGATTGGATCTAAGTCAGGAGTAAGATGGGGGAGAAAAGACAAGGTCTGTAGCAGTGGCAAGCCGGAGTCTGAATTGTTGGTTAGATGGTTCCATGGAGCAGCTTCCAGGCTTAAATAGTTGGTGTGCACCAATCAGGCAACCACCAGGTTCAGTTGCGCTGACATCTTTGGGCGGTACTTTCTGCGGTTCCTAACCCTCCAGTAATGAATGGATGGTGCTTTGCCTGACTCCTCAGTGGCACTCTGGAGGTGTGGGTTGCCCAGGACTCTGCAAACCTGGGTTGTAGACCTGCGGATCCTTACAGGTTGGATTGAAAAATGGATGACTAAAATAAAGGGATTTTTTTAATTTAAATTAAATACAGTCTTATTTTTTAAATTATGGCAGCCTATGGTAAGGCATTAAGCTAACTATCATATATTAAATAATTTAAATAAAATAAATTAAGCAAAGAAAGATAAACACTAAACTGGTGGAAATCACTGGCTAAGTGATTAAACCAGCTTTTGAGAGCAGTAGCCTCTTCAGCAGGTGCAGAGAGAATATTTTCTCTTTTCAGTTTATTCAGCTAGTTCAGTTTAATGACTTGTTCATTTAAAGTTAAGAAACCAAGTGGAAGCTGAAAAAATGGAATAAACCTATGAATAAAAACTAACAGAGAGAATGAGAATCTATTAGTTCTAAAATCTTGAGGGAATGACGACCCAAAACCATCAGTTCAATTCACTAACTACAAATAATACTTCCTTTGCTTGATAAATCAGTTAATTTCAAATGCAAAATCTTTTTATCTAAAATCTTTCTGAAACATTGTCTTACCTATCAAGTACATTTAAGATAATTTTTATTTAACTAATAACTACCATTTTAAAATGGTAGTTAACTTCCATCCAAATAGAGCTTGACACAAATAAGAAGTAAAAATTAATCACTAGGAAATGCCTGTCACCACTTTCTAACATAATAAGTATAAATATTATTAATCTAAATACATGTAAATTAAGCTATATTTGCTTAAATAAATGTATAATATATCCTCCTGGTTAGCAAAAAGAAGCACCAAATATAATATAAAGGGTATATTTAGTTGCAAATCAATATTTTAGTGGTTCTCAACCTATGAGAATCAATCTTTTCCTAAAGAACTAGAGTACAAACAAAAATAAAATTATAATTTAAATCAAGGTTTCCTGCTTGCAGATTTATTAAACGATTCAAATTTCCAATTTTAATCAGTGATTTTAGTCTATCCATACTGCCTGTACCAACGAACCTGTTTCTACTTTCATGTTGTCCTCTCCCCCTTCCTTTCGTTCCACTATCTGGAAGGTCAATCATCTGTTTGTGAGCTTTCTGCGGCAAAGACTGTCTTTGTGGTGGCTTTTGTACAGTATCTATTATAGTGGTACCCTAATCTCTGTTTAAAATCCTTAGGCACTGCCACAATAGTAAAAGGCGAAAGATTTATATGATCTGAAGAGAAACCAGAGTAGTAATGATTCACGTGTTTGCTTTGCTTGACACATTTTTTCTCCTACTAGCACAATAGAATCAATGGAGTTATTGGAGGGGGGAAGGAAGCGGACTTCTTTTCTGACTCATATATTGAGAGAATTAAGTTTCAGTTGCCATATCTTTATTCTATGATGCACAATCAGATTGTTTTCTTTTATATATTTTTAAATTCTAGATTGGCAGTTTAAAAAAGCAGGCATGTTTTTGCTTGTAACTAATTGACTATGATCAAGTCTTGAGACAAAAAACATGGAACCATGTTGGGATTTTAGCATATAATGACCCTTTTAACTTTGGCTTCTAAATGTTATGTATACAGACTTAGGAAGTCTAACCTTGTTTTCCAGTAATAGAATTTTTTCCATGTGTTGTTTAAAGCATTATAACTATTGTTAAGGGCATTATATGGGAGTTCTGTAATAGGTAAGCCAGATTCAGATAGCCCCCCACCTGCAGGTTGCTCAGTAATTCGCAATGAGTATTTATAATCTCGGACACAAAAAGAACAGGAGTGTGCACTGCTAGGGTGGGGTGTGTGTTAAAAGCACTTTGATCTTCAAACTTTATATGGCCTTATGGAACTAACTGAAATATTTCTGCTCCTTTCCAGTTTAGGTCTAATATCAGATTCCTTTCATATGTTCTTTGACTGTACTGCTCTACTGGCCGGATTAGCAGCTTCTGTCATTTCAAAGTGGAGATCAAATGATGCTTTCTCATATGGGTAAGAAATTTTAGCTTCTTATAACATAGGAAATATATTTTCATAAGTGCATAGATAGCACTTCCTGTTGCCATGTCTGAGGAAAGTGTAGCATGACTAGTTTTTGTTGAAACATTTTGGGGAAACTGTTGAAATTAACTGTTCATTTAAAAAAAAAAGGTGGGGGGAATATTGAACTAAACTTGAACTTCATGAAACTGGCACATAAGTAGCCAAGTGTGTCTCCTACAGAAGTGTAGCATAATTATAAATAAAATTACAGTGTTATGTTTCTGGGGTGAAGTTTAAGACCCTTCCAAGAACTGGTTGCTGATTAATATTAATGGAAACACAAATCATGTTGCAAAACGAAATGTCACATTGCATATTGTTCAGCTGCTACTGATTTTTTTTTTTTTTTTTCTGCTAGCATCCACCGTAATGGGTGATAGCCAAAGTTGAAACAGCTTTTCTTTTTGGACTTTGTTTTCCCACAGTCTTAACTAGAATATTCCCTGTATTGGAGTACTACATACCATGCTAAGCTGATTCTGCTTGCTTTTGGAGTGGTTGAAACACTGACACTGTTTGCGTATTTTAAAAACACCAGTGGCAGTCCTAAGTGAAAATTAACTTTTTGCTCACATTCTAGTGGGAACAATTATCCATATAAAACTGTTAATGGTGGGCAAAATATTGCTTTCCTGGCTCTAACCATTTACCTGCAGCATGAAAATACTCTTCCCTTTAGTGGCTGATCTTAGTGGGGAAGATTTGAGAATACTGAGAAAAGCTTTATTCTAGTTCCTCTCCACGTGAATTCCACTTACGGTGCAGCAACATCGCTTACATAGGAGTTCTCCAGTAGGGGTTGCGCAGGAGCCCTTCATGCCCACCGGTGCACTTCACCCGGCTCCTCCTCCATGGGCATGAAGGGGCAGCATGACCCGTTCATCCTCAGTTCCTTCTAACTGCTTTTCGGCAGCAAGTGGGGACATTTTGTTATTTCTCTGTTAGTATAGTTTGTTACTGTTACAATTTATTAGCCTTATAACTTAGTATTAGTTATTTAGTCCTTGGCTACTTAGTTTAAACAATAAACTTATTTTTAAGTTTAGTACAGTCAGTAAGATTAGTCAGTTACCTTGTCAGTTTCAGACTTTATTCCCTGCTTGTCAGGATTCAAGTTGTACCCATCTGCAGGAAGGGACACAGTCTGTCATCTTTGTTTGGGGGGAGCAGGGAGGCCTCGTAGCACATTTTGAGGGGATGTCTGCACAGCTTTTATAAAATGCACCTAGAAAGTTAGAGAAAACAGACTGAGTCTCTTTCTAATGGAGAACTCTGAGACCTCAATCAGACTGACATGCTAGAGCTTCAAGGACTCTCAGGCTTAATGGCAGTGCCCCTGTTTGCCAGTGCCCCAGAGACTAGGGGGGTAATGCTGACTTCTGTAACTCCTAAGAGGCATCACTCCTCCTTTAAGAGCGCTAAAGCTCATCCAGTTGAACAGGCAAACGCTCCAGCTATCCACAAGCCCAGGGACCATGTAGGCAAACCTGCAGTTAGGCTGCACTCCTCTTCTCTGGTACTGCAAAAGAAAAAAGGCAGAGTCACGGGTACTGAGGGAACTGCTCAAGGCCTCATTGGCGCCGATATCTCCAAGGAAGAAAGCGTCTCTACCAAACCAGCTTCCCTCAGCAGCCCAAAGAGATCAAGGACTGACTTTTCAGCATTGGTTTCCTCAGTGCCATTGCAGCAGCAACAGCAGTCATAGCATACCCCGGTACATGCAGAGGCTACTGTACCAGGGCACTTGCATGCTAACTCCTCAGTACCAGCTCAGGGAGCCACTAGGATGGTATTGGCTGTTGCAGTGCTGAGGCTATAATTTTCAGGCAAGAAGAACCTGTCAGCAGTGGTACCAGACTCCTCCTCTTTCTCGTAAGTGCTGCCAGAGATGTTTTCAGTTCTCCATTTCAGGGACATGGATGACATCAGAATAACTCCAGAGTTATGCTCCCCTTTATTGGGTTATTCCCCTCAGTCTTCATTCCAGCTGAAAATCGGGACAACCCAGGATACCGATCATGAAGATATCACTACATTCCGGGAGCCATAATCATGGTAAATTGTCTACTCCTCATACTTTAGCAATGCCTTCTAGTGCAGTTCCCCACTCTGAAGACTCTTCATTATCATCTGTGACTCTTCCCAAGCACCCAGTAGGGACCATTCTCCAGAACCTCTCCACCTTCATTGTCTCCTCCTTGAGCTAAGCTTTAGGATAAAATAGTTTATCCTAAGGACTCTACCTTTAGACCCCCCATTGCCAAGAATCAGCTTTCATTCCCTGGGGACAGCCTCCTTAAGCCCATTGCCTGTGGATTTCAACTAAGGCCTTATTGGTCTCCTCATTATTCATGGCTACCAAATCTTTTAGTCTCCCAAGAATCTCCTTGAGAAAGCCATCAAAACCCTGTTCTCTGCCAATACCTCAACCAAATATGGAATCAAAAAATCCTTTGAGGAAGAGTGTGGAGAAATTCACAATAGCCCTTCACGTACACCTCTCTCTATACTTACACCAGATAAAACCTCATCTGTGGGATGATCCTGAAACAGCTACAAAGGAACTTCTAGGACAAGACATGCAAGTTATTTGATATCTTGCTACCAGCTGCTCAGAGCAGAATTGATAGAGATTCTCGCTGCTGCCAAGGAATTATGGGCAAGCCCCCTGCATCTATCACCCCAACTTTGAGAAGGGCTGAATGAAAGTATCGAGTCCTTCCTAAAGGGTTTGAATATTTTTGTTCGCTTTCACTGCCATCATCATTGTTAGTCACAACAATAAGTTAGAGCCAAACAAGCTTACAGATCTGTCAGATGAGAAAAAGGTCCCCTTGGCTGCAAGGTTTACTCTTCGACATCCCTTCAGGTCAGGATGGTGAACTATTTAGCTCTGTTGGCTAGAAGTAACTATACAGTGGGACAAGGCAGCAGATTTTTCCAACAAACTACCTCCTGATTTAATGGAGGAGTTTAAATTGATCTGTTCAGAGGGACATTGGATTTCTAGAGTGTCTCTCCAGGCAGACCTTTACAGACGCAAAGACTCGATCAGTGGCCAGTGGAATTGCCATGATGATTGACTCCTGGTTGTCTGCCTCAGATCTACCTAAAGAATGGCAGACTATCGAACAGGATTTACTGTTTGATGGAAAAGACCTGTTTAATGACACATTGCCCCCTTTGAAAGATTCTTGGGCTATGCTTAGAACTTTGGCCTTTATACTTGCAGCTCTAAAAGGTAACAGTATATTAGAATACCTCTTGACAGAGATTTCAATCATCTGCATCCTCGCACCATCAGAAACAACTAAATCAGTTTAGAAAGGGACAGAGGTTCCTAAAGCAGAAAACAACTGCTTCATTTACTTCTCAACCATCCCAACAACAAATATAATGCTTCAGTCAAGGATGCCAACCCAATCTGTGGATACCACCCCTGACCTTTGGTTCCTGCCCCTCTCTCTCTCTTCTCCCCTTCCCCGCCCGCGCAAGGATGCCTCGACTTTAATAACATCAGACTGTTGGGTCTTGCAGGTCATTCAACAAGGTATGCTCTACAATTTTGCCATGGTACGCCATACCTCCTCCCCACCCCTTTTCAGGGACCAACCTCACGAGAGTCTTGTGCACCAAAAGATATAGTCTCCATTAGAGCTGAATGCTGTAGAGCCAGTGGTGCTTCACCTCAGAGGAAAAGGATTTTATTCCCTTTACTTATTGATACCAAGGGAAAAAGGGGAGTGGTAATCTTTGTTAGCTCTCAGGCTCCTCAACATTTATATGGCCAATCCAAAGTTTTGCATGGTAGCTCTGGCATATGTCATTAGATCCCATGCACTGATTCAGTACTCTCAACTTGCAAGACATACACTTTCATGTGGTGGTATATCTGTTACACGCAAAGCTTTTCTTCATTACAATACCGAAGGAACATTATCAGTTCAGGGTCATCTCATTTGGTCTCTCAGCTGCACCTTGAATTTTCATAAAGTGTCTGTTGGTGGTAACCACTCATTTACATTGTCAGGGTATTTGTGTACCCACACCTTGACAGTTGGTTAATCCGAGGAAAATTAGCCAGCAGGTCTCCAACTCAGTAAAATGGATTCTGGGCCTGTTCTTAGAGTTAGGACTGAAAATCAATTTAAAGAAATCTCAGTTGATTCCATCCCAATCCAGACACTGTCTAATCCACCATATGCAATGTTCCATGCAGACAAGGTGATCATGCAACATCACCCTAAGTTTATCCCTAAGATTGTATTGCACCTTCATATTAATCAATATATACACTTTGGTCTATTTTTTTTCCCCCATGGCCTCACTCATCCCCAGATGTCAGTACATTAGTACTATCTTGGTAAGACAAGTTTGTTCAGAAAATCTCCTAGACTTCTTAAAGCAAATGACAGTGCATCTAAAGGCAGAGCAGCCTCGTCTTCGAGATTATCTAGATGGGTTGTATCAAGATTTCTTATGTCATCCATAAATTACAGATACCAAGTCAAGTTACTGCTAGTTCTACTCAAGCTACCTTGACAGCATGCTTCAGCAGAGATGCAGTCATTGAAATTTGTAGAGCAGTAACATGGTTCTCTACCCACTGACCAACCACTACTCTCCCTGGTATCAACGTCTGGAATGAATGCTGATTGGGATATGCTCAGCTTGGAAGATAAGCTCCTAGCTCCCACTGCCTAATTAACTGAACTGCTAGTTGATTGCTGTAACTGGGAGCTACATGTGCAGGAACATGAAGAAGAAGCTGTTACTTTGTGGTAAATTGTTATTCTTCAAGAGGTTCTGTGCGTATGACTCCCATGACCCACCCTCACGTCTTCACTGCTTGGAGACTCTGGGCAGTGAAGGAAATGAGGAAGAACAAGTTGTGAGGGGGGGCATATGGGCATGAAGGGCATATGCGTGACCCCTACTGGACACTGTTATTTGAACTTCAGAACACCTGTGCGGGGATGCTGCTGCACCATAAGTAGGTTCCACATGCACAGAACATCTCAAACACTTACCACAAGGTAAGTAACCATTTCTTTCATACAGATCTGATATCTGAAAAACAGTAAACAACTGGTGAAGGGCAAGCAGCCTATTGTAGTGTTTATATCAGTGGACTGGAGTCAAGAGACATCAGTTTTAATCTCCACTCTACTGGTGGCTTTCTGAGAGACCTGTCCAGGTCACTTAATATTGTGCCATTTTCCTCATCTATAATATGGGGATTCTCTCCTCCCTATGTAATACACTTTGAGATCATCTGAAAAGTGTTTGCTGCAGTATGGAAAATAATTTACTACATTTCATATCAAAGCCAATCAAAATCAGATTGGTTGACATTCAAAACTCCCCGTCAGTCTTTCTTTTAAAAAAATTCCTTTCTACATAGCTACAATAGGGGTGAAAGAATAAACTATAGTCCAGTTCATGGTACCATCCTGCCTCTGATATATTGAAATTAAAAACTCTAAACACTTCTGGATGTTCAGTTTATAAAAAGGAGAGGTAACATCTGGCATTGCTGATTTGATTCTAGGTATGTTCGAGCAGAAGTACTGGCTGGTTTTGTAAATGGTCTGTTTCTGATCTTCACAGCATTCTTCATTTTCTCTGAAGGCGTTGAGGTATGTTCTGAAGTCAATTGCAGTCAATAAATCTCCCCTGAAAAAATGTTTACCTTTGCAGAAGCTCCATTTCTCTTTAGGAGTGTATATTTAAGGGGAGAGGACAACTTAAGCATTATTGTAATGGATGATGAGTAGTCATATTCACAACCAATTAAACTTGTGACATCTGAACGGAATAGAGAAGATCAGCTGGAGTCAGTGTTGGATGTACATGTATAAATATCTTCTTTTTTCAGTGTCTATTAGCTTTCAGAATAACGTATTTTGAATGATGCTAACTTCTGTCAGGTCTACCTTTTTCTTCCGCAGCCAGTATAGTATTCCATGGAATGGCACTTCCTTTTCATTATTAAAGGAAAAATAAGGCTAGAAAACAAAAGGAAGCCATATGAGCATTTTATGTGGACAGAGCATTCTAAGTAAGAAGTTAAGATTAGATGTTTGTCAGAAGGAAAGAAAGGGATGAGCTTGTCAAACAGCAGCGGTAGTGTTGATCGTTGCGAAGAAAAATGAGTGAGCAGAGAAACGGGCTTTTATGCTATTAGGAGGTAGTGTTAATTTTTGCCTAGAAGACGTCTTGAATAAATGTGTCATAGTAACAATCTGAACACTTGCAGGTATGTTTTCTTAGATTTCTGTTCTATTGACAGGTAGCTTATTTGTTTGATAGTAACAAAAGGTAAAACTTTCAAAAGCAGGAAGTCCCATTTTCACAAGTGACTTAGTTAATGGAAAGTTAATGAGACATAAGCTTGTAAGTCACTTAAATGCTTTGGAAAACTTTACTCTAAGGCCTGGTCTATACTACCCGCCTGAATCGGCGGGTAGAAATCGACCTCTCGGGGATCGATTTATCGCGTCCCGTCGGGACGCGACAATCGATCCCCGAATCAGCGCTCTTACTCCACCAGGGGAGGTGGTAGTAAGAGCCACCGGCGGGAAGCCGCAGAAGTCGATTTTGCCGCCGTCCTCACAACAGGGTAAGTCGGCTGCGATACGCCAAATTCAGCTACGCTATTCACGTAGCTGAATTTGCGTATCTTAAATCGACTCCCCCCTGTAGTGTAGATGTACCCTAAGACTACAAAAGCTAGCCAGAAAAAATACTAACCCAAAGCCTGATATGAAGTAGGGAGACCATTAGGAAGCCTCAGAGAAGTACCCTGGTAAAATGGCAGCTTGCCTTTTCTGTTGGGAATGTGGGAGTAGGTTTTTCGTTATAGTGCTCCCCCTGCCCCATGCCGGGGGCCTCATCTTTTTATACTGACATCTGGTAATAAGCGGTCCAGTTTTGGAGCATTGGTTCATTCCCACCCATTCACATGCTAGATGAGCAGGTACTTCTTTCCTTTTTAGCCCTTTTCCTAGTCTGTTAGAGATGTTTGCAGGATTAAACAGTGTCAGAGGAAGCATCGCTAACTACAAAAAAGTAATTCCAGAGTGTTTTAGTGATGTCCATAATAGGTTCTGGTAAATTTGTTTCAGTTTTTAACGTAGGATTTAGGGGTAATTAAAACTCCAAGAAAATAGAGACTCAGCTGCTTCTCTTATCTCACCTGTTGAGAGAAAAGAGGGGTTCTTCAGACTGAGAAAAATTTTTACATAGTCCCAGTATAACTGCGAACTAAAATGTCTTGGTGTCGTTTTGAGCTGAATAATGCCATAACAGAATATAATGAAGAAGATGATAGTGAAATGTAGCTCTAAAATACCATTTGAAAAGAGACGTACAAAATATTTGGTGAATGACCTCCAAACAAGGAGAAATATAGGTATTGAGGTTTAAGTTTTCATAATTCTTCTAGACTACCAGCATTTCTAATTCATTATCATTAATCTCTTGATTTGGATATTGTATCAGAAAACTCCTGCATCAAATCAGATATGTAATACTGTGTCTATTTTCTGGAGTTGCTTCTAATTGTGTGGTAGGATTATAAATGATGCACTAAACTTGCTTCTTTTTGTAGAGAGCATTGGAGCCTCCTGATGTGCATCATGAGAGACTTCTTCCTGTGTCTATATTAGGATTCCTTGTGAATCTTATAGGAATATTTGTTTTTCAACATGGAGGCCATGGACACTCACATGGCTCTGGTATGACAGTTGTAATTCTCATTATCCTTTCCTTTTTGGCAATTTGTGTTCAGTTACAATTAGCCCTCCAACCAGGGTCTGCATGTTGCATGTTGTGTGTCTTTCAGTGGCAAGCCTAATGAGTCATGTACAGCGTTGGCTTTTTCAGTATTACTAAGATAGTATCCATTTTTCCTCCTTATTGAACTCCCAATAATTGGAAACCAAAAAAAAAATTAATCTGCTGTCTGGAACTTGTAGTTTATTGGAAGAGACTTGCAAGAATTTTCATTTATACAAAAGATTTTTCTCTTTAAATAGGAGACTGAAATGGCCGTAGGTGGAGCATTTTACAGGAGAATAGCTGAAAAAAATCTTAAATCTAAGAAGAAAATTTTTCAGTAGTTCTTGCAATTGTTTAGCATTGTTTTTCAAATTAAATGCAAGATTTATATACACAAATATCTATATGTTAAATATTGCTCTGACTTTTTGCTGACATCAGGCCTTCTAATGTAGTCTGTGAACTGTAACTCATCCTGACAGATGGAAGTAGTGTAAGTATTTTACACACTTTTTAATGTGATTGATTTTTAAAAAATCAGTATAAACACAGCAGAAAAGTATGGCCACTTTCACCACACAGAGCTGGAAGTGTGTGTTACAGTCGAGCAAAAATGTGTGCAGGATATTTCAGTGGTGGTCTAAAATGGCTTGGCTCAAAAAAGTAACCGATAAAGCATTTTGACTTTCTTGTTCGAGTTCAGTAAATATTTTATGCAGCAACATAACTTGGATTAATTTAGATTTTGAATTATGTGTATTAGTTTTTCTCTACCTGACCTACATGGAAAAAAATATTTTATTTTCCTTATGGAGTAGGTAGATATTAAGTACTTTAGAAATGAATGTAAGCATACTTTTTCTTTAATATTCAGGTACACAGTATTCTGACAGTGATATTTATTTATAGGGCATGAGCACAGTCATTCTCTATTTAATGGTGTTCTCAGCCATGGACACAGTCACGGAGGTCACGGTCACAGCCATGAATCCAAACATGGCCATGGGCATTCTCATGATCACAGTCATGGGAAGGGACACTCGCACAATCAGGATTATTGTCATGGTAAGTGTCTGTCTGAAAACAAAGGCCATATACCAGAGATGGTATGTGCCATTAAGTTTTACTGGCACAGATCTTTGTGTATAGATGAGAAGATGCTGGCAGCTTGCTTTAGCCAGCACATATGGAAGAAATGTTTCTAAAAGGAGAATGCTAGTGGCATGTTCTTATCCACCTAATGCATCTCGTGGTACATCCAAATCCATGCTGTTTTTTTTTTTTTGTTTGTTTGTTTGTTTGTTTTTGAGGCATATAATTGTTGTTTCATTGTAAGCTTTGTAGTAAATTCAGCATTGCAATAATGAGAACCAATCTAATACTTATAAATTATACTAATACTTTTAGTAGTAAATATGCAACTGTAACTGTAAACTTGTTTGTGTAGAGGAAAACTTAAAGGTATCAGCTTTTCAAAAAGCCCTTAACAAAACCAGCTCAAGTTATGTCATGTAGTTCATACAACTTTAATAAAAAATTATACCTGTTGTTATATTGGTTTAGCTATGCATACAGCTTGGTTACATCCCAAAAGATGTGTCCACCTAAGTATTCACATGTGTAGGCAAAGGTTCAAAGTATAGCTTCTGCTTTGCCTTGCCAGGACTGCAGCCTCTACTGCAATCCCCCATACTTTGTGTCGTCAGGGATTGGCATTTTATAGTACATTTTATGCACATGTGCATTCACATTTATTCAAAACCCTATTATTCCTTGTCCCCAGACTGCACGGGGAGCCCTCTTGCCATAGCCCTGCTCGCTCAAGCCACAGTTGGGCTGCAGAGAGCTCCCTTTACTGCTACAGGAACCATGCAGTAGTAAGGTGGCTTCCCCCTTAGCCAAGGGCAGCAGTGGCTCCTGCTCGTCGTCATCGTCCTCCTTGCAATCCTTGTGGAGGGTCTGTGCTCCATTATCCGAACCTCATCGTTATCCAAATTCCCTCCTTGTCCCCCAGCATGAGATACATACCTTCAGCCGCAGGTGTCTCATGCTGAGGGACAATGAAAAGGGGTTGGATACTGTAGAGATCTGGATAATGGGGTTTCGGATAAACAGGAGTATTTTGTGTGTGTGTGTGTGTGTGTGTGTGTGTGTGTGTGTGTGTGTGTGTGTGTGTGTGTGTGTGTGTGTAGTAGTAATAATATA